CATTATAATTTAGTATGAACAATAGTCCATCACTTTTTTTCCTATGCAACCCTTAACTAATTCCATGCACCATGCACAAGTAAAATGAGGCCTTTTCTAATCAGGGTGCAGCCGTATCAATCATCTATTACTTCACGATGAATGATGGGGTCCCTGCTCAACTAAGTGGAAGAGAAGTGTGGCCCAGCAGAAATGTCAAGCCCACCCTCTCTTTGAATAGACAACTTTCTGTTCCTGATGCCTGTCTGCATTTAGTGAGCAATCAAAGAGAAAGTTTGAGAAAAGAGAAAGCCCCTCTTACACTTGATGAGCACTAACTTGCCATGGAAAGCAAGGCCCTGTGTCCTCTGTAACACCGAGCCAACCGCCATCTACTGCTCTCTTCAGCCAAGTGGAGTCCACACTACCCATTCCCAGATCCTCCCACTCTTACAGCCTCCCAGCTCAACCAAGAACCAAATAGACAACTCAAACAGCCAACCTCCACTGTTCTCCACACACTGGGTCTCCAGAGCACAGGGTATGTTTTAAGGCCGTACATGATCCCTCCAGTTTCCATTATTCCTGGTAAAACTTGACAGGAAAGGAAATCAGGATTTCAGGGCTTTAGAATACGTCACAGCTGAGCATGGTGCAGCAATCCCAGGGACTCAGAAGGCAGAGGCAGGAGGATGGCAAGTTCTTCCCATGCTACCTAACAATTTTAAGGCTACCTTGTGTTTATAACTTAGCAAGGTCCTACCTCAAAATTTTAATAAAATAAAATAAAATAGGGGGCTTAAGATGTAGCTAATTGCTAGGACAATTGCCTAACAAGTACAAGTCTCTAAGTTCAATCTCCAGCATCTCAAAAACAATTAATGAACTAACTTATTAATTAATTGCAGGTCAATAAGCAGGCTATCCTTCTCTGAGTGGAACCTTACCATTAGCCATTCCCCACAAGGACAATTTCCAGTTTGAAAATGAACAAAAATGTTCTAAATTTTCTATATCTGCATGAAAGAACAAGTTGTTGGTGATCTCAGCCACTTGCTGACCATCAACTTCCCTGGGAACACAGACTGCTCTGGCTTCATAGCTTTGTGTAGGCGTCACAAAGGGTGGCTGTGCCTGGCAAAGATGATGAGCTGTGGGGCACGTGGTGGAGAAGACAGGCACCTGGACAGGAGTATCAGGGATGCAGGGTATGAGCCAAGACCATCATTCCTTTGTAAACTGACTAGGGAAAGACTCTGAATGAGAGCCCTGGCTTCAGTGATTACATCCACTTAGGATTAAATCACAGAGAGATGTGAAATCAGCTTCGTGAAGCAGAAAACCCTTTGTAGATCCAAGAGTTTGTTTGCACATGTAGCACTGACCAAAGTCTCAAAGAGTTTTCAAAGTCAGGAAAAAGCGATAAAACACGATTCCTCAAACCTTGCTGCATGGGAGTCATATGGAGAGTTATTTCCAACTTCCCTATCTGTTTCCCAGGTGGGGGTGGGGGGATCTGATGGGAACTCCAGACTGAGAGACACTTGGATAAGAGTTTGGCTGGAAATAGATTCCCATACATTCATCAGATATCTGAAACATTCAGAGGACTCAGAGGATACAAATAATTACAAGATAGAGCTCATACTTTGAGCAACTTACATGTGGAGAGAAGATAAAATGAAAGCTATATGCTGAAGCAAGGCCCACAGGCCATAGTCACAATCTTTCTGGTGTCCCTTTGGAGCTAGGAGCCAGACAAGACTTCACTCTCCCCAGAGAGAAACTCTGGTTCCTGTCACTTGCGGTTAAAGTACCTGTGTGAGTGCCTCTGTCCCCAAAGTGTGAAGCCTCATGCCTGTGCCCTGAGAGCCCATGTGAGCCATAGATGTCTGGGTCAGGCATCAGGAGAGAGTGTGGCACTTGTCCCTGTCTGACAAAAGCAGGCATCTTGGAGAGCTCAGCACAGACATGGAAGGAACAGAGACCCCCCCTGTTCATTCCAGAGAGCATCTAGTTTAAGCAGCACTCATGAAGCCAGAACGGGACAACTCCAGATGTGGGCAGCTGTGTGAGAAGAACAGATTTAGCCTCTGAAGGTTTCACTTTGAATCTCCTCCCCAAGACCACACCCCAGGAGCCCATCTGGGGTCACAGCAGTGTCTGGGAGCAGATGGAGAATGCCACCTTCCCTTTTTTTCTGAAACTCCACCGAACCTTAGTATGGGTCCCAGGAACACCAACAAGAGCATCCTGGTCCAAGAGTCAAGAGGCCCAGCTTGTCGTTCTGGCCCTGCCAGTAATGAGCTATAAAATCATGTCTCTTTCCATGTCACATCTGGTTCCAAAGAGGAACACTCGGGAGGCTGTCATCCTCGCCAGCTACTTCACAGGGTTGACATGAGGACTAAGCAAAACCTTTGAAAGGGTAGAAAAGTATCTCTGAAATGAAGAAACAGATGTGACACCTCTGAGTAAAATGTTGGCCTCTGGATTATGCCACCTGATCATGAGCCTTGTCCCCCCAGTTCACCAGAGAACGATCTATCTGCCACTTTGATAAGTTACCACCACTGTGTCCACTGCAGATAAAGATTTTTAGACAAGGTTGCTCTGCCGGCTGCATCCCCTCCGGCTTTGGCAGATGTGAACTCTCTCCAGGCCTACAAAAGCTAAAAATGTTGTTGCTTTGCACAGCCATCTCTTGCCCCACAAGCCTCAGCCTGCTCAAACAGATGTGGAGGTACCCAAGTCATCTGACCCCCCAACCCCATTCATGTGACATCTTTGTTTGCCACTAAATTCATCTGAGAGGGGAAAGAAATACCTCAACCAGGAAATATATCTTGTACAGCTATTTCATCCCCGCCTCACGTGGTGCTGGAATATCGCTTTAAAGAACATTCTGGCGGCATTTCCAGCTCTTTCCCTTTAGCCCCGCCACGGGAGGAGCTGGTCGGAGGGGAAACTGCTCCCCAGCAGAGCCTTTCTTCAAAGGGACTTCTTCAGGCAGGAAGAGGGAATGTCTGATATTGTGGCTGAATAAACAGACTCATCAAGCTCAGAGCCAGTTTGGAAAGCCAAGCCCTCGGAGTCCGAAATCTGCCAGCCCTGCAGGGTGCGTTGCTACGGCTCTATCCATTATGTCCTGTCTCTCTCTTCTCCCGCACTCCATAGCACCAAATGTGTTAACACAGCTGAGTGTGTAACTATTGCTTTCTTTACTATTTATACACTAACCTAATAGGTTCTACACATCTCAAAGCCTATGATGTCACCCAACGCAGATCACAGTTTCTTGCAATGTCTACAGACATCAACCTATCGGATGATTGTGAGGGGAGAAAAGCCTGGTATAGTGGTTTACTCCTGAGATTCATGTTCTAAGGACGCTGAGGCAGAAGGACCACCAAGAAGTCAAGAACTCTATGCTGTATAGTGAATTCTAAGCCAGCCTGACTAAATAGGAAGACTCTTAAAACTAAGCAGATTATATAGGTGGCTCATAACACACAGTGTACCAGCCCCAGGCAGATCACTGATAGAATCCTAAGCTTTACAGGATTCCAAAGAATTCATTTTCAGAAACAACCAAACAACAAAATCTACAAACCCACATACTCAAAAAGGCAATTGTCTCCTCTGTCCCTTGAAATGGTTCACCATCTTACAATCTATCATAGAATTACTCAAATGTAACTAACCTAAACGTTTTATGACCATTAATTTTTCCATTGACAAGCTGCTCACGAGCAAAATTCCAAGCTCCAGGTCACAGCAGGGCTTAGGCTTAGAGACCGGAATTTGTCTTTTCCGTACTGGAAAATTTGGGGTTTTCTTTTAATATGAAATAAGCAGCAAAAGATGTTGTGGCTGTTCAGAAAACCTGGGTATTAACCCATTACTTTTGCCATGCGTGTATCCACATATATTCATTCTCTGGACATGGATGCCCCATGGATTTCCCATCTCAAAATTTCAGGCCCATCAGAATTTGTTTCTAAAACTCCAAACTTTATGCCTGGTCTAAATATCCCAATATTTAGTTATCATATTTCCTTGTGGGAAATATCCTGAAAGGCCCACATTCTCTTGAGGGTTTAGAAAACTCTCCCAGACCTAGTTTCAAATGAAAATTCATTTCTTCAAATTAATTCATTGCTTCCACAATTGGTAGTTGATAGCTGTGTTAGCCTACTTCCTGGTTGGCCCATTGCCCTGTTCTAGCAGAAACGATAGCCAAGGAGAAAGTCATATCCATGTCTGGATAATACAGATGTCTGGGATCCAAAGCAGTTTTAATTTTCTTTCAACAGTAGGCATTTAAGTAATCAGTAAGTCCCCCCCCACACACACACACTCTCTCTCTCTGCCATCAACAATGTTGCTATCTCCCCAAGTACCAACTGGGACCATGAATGGTGGTTCCTGGCTGTAATCCCTCAGGAGGGACTCTGAGAAAGAAGGTTTGCTGTGAGTTCAAGGCCAGCCTGGGCTAGAGAAAAACTGTCTCAAGTAAAATTAAACTAAAAATAAGCCACAAAAGGCTGCTTGGGATTCCTATCATGGTCAGCATTTCCAGGGTGTTTGTTTGTTAGTAGTGTTTGTGAGTAAGTATTGGGGAGAAACCATGAGGGTCATTCTGCTGTGTTCTCTTTCACAATCCCAGACTAACATTCAAGCATGCACAAACTAGTACACACACTTTACCATTTCACAAAGCTATATTGTGTCTATCTTGGAGGAAAAAAAAAAAATCCTAACTCAGTCACATGGGTACTGACTGACAAATTACCAGATATCAACAAATAGATTTTTCATTTTCTAACTGATTTCTGTATAGGTAGCATCATCAATTGCCTGTCAAACTAAGGATAAAGGTCAGAAACTATTTTTATCCAGTCTCAGATGTAACTCCTCTCCACCCAGCATGGAGCAGGCTCTCCTTATGCAACCAGGGACGCAAACATCTCTTAGGCATGGAGAGAGGAACAAGGTGGGAGGCATTGGATTTTACTCACCTTTGGCCAGGCTTTATTTGTTCTACAGATAAAAAAATAACTTTGGACTTCTTTATCCAACCAGTCACCTTGCATCAGCAGTAAACTCCCTCAAAACTTTCTGTTCCCGTCAGACCCTTGAGAAAACAAAACGAAAAAAATAAAAGCACGATTAAAATCTACTTTCTTTGGTCAACATCCTAACATTGAGCAATTTCTTAACATCTAAAAGGGACTGTCCTGGAGTCTGGCTGAGGGTGAACTCTTTATTGATCAAATGGCCAGGGCCAGAAACAACCAGAGAGAGAAAGCAGAGTTTGAGGACCTGTTCTGTGCTGTTTCCCATTCTCCGCTCTGCACTCTAAGGGTTTCATCCACATTTTCCTTTTGAAGATAGGGATCTTTGACCATTTAAACCATATACTTCTACCAGCAATAAAACTTTAAATTACTTTTTTACAGATTACATACTTATTAACCTATTCTGAACATAGAGAACATAGAACTACCCTCATCTGAATGTTAGAACTATGTCTGTGTGTTCGATATCATATGGAACCTATAAATACAGAGCATTTTTGCACATCAATTAAAAAGAACATACATACCAAAATTTAAGGTGAAATTAAAATGAACACAAATGGGCTTAATGTCAACTTTCTCACACCAATAACTCACTTTGGACTTTCCATGGGGTAGAGAAACCTTACTTCTGGATCCATGACTTTTGAAATGTGGATATCTATTACTCTTTCCAGTCCTCAGGAAAACCTATGTTCACTAAAAGATCTGCCGTCTGTCATTACGGCTGTCTGTGAACAAAGACTTATCATAACATTCACATTTTAAGTGCAAGTATAATTATGAGAGGAAAGCTTTATCTTACATTAATACCAGAAAGTGCCAAGAAATTCAGGGTATTGGAACAGCAATGGGCCCTGATCTCAACCTCCTCACCAGATGTACCATGGCAGTCCCACATTCTGCAAATAGAAACATTTTAGAGACCCTCCAACTGCTAAAGAGAAAAGTGGGGATGGTTTATGAGCTAAATGGCTTCTATGAGGTTAATATCATTTCTACTCAAACTTTATGTTCCTTTGAGAAGTCAGGAGGGCACTGACAGCTACTCCAAAGAAGCACAGCCTTCTGTATCACTGCTCTTCCATGACCAATAAAGGCATAGACAGCTCTCCCAGATCTGCATGGAGATTCCAGGGCTCTGTAGCTTTACATTGAGGGATTAAATAGAGTTCTACAGTATACAAGGAAAAGGAATCTTTTTTTTTTTTTTTTTTTTTTTTGGCTCAAATAATGACAAGTGTTTGCATACTCGGAGATTTATGTATGTCATGGATATATGCAAAAATTTCCTCAGAGCATAAGATGAGTAATTATCTGATTTTCATCTTTGTGAACACAAGTTGGAATCTTTTATAACAGTACTGTTCTTTAGGCACATGTATAAATTCGGTTCACCAAATTGTTTCAAAACCATCTATTTGATCAGAAAAGCAAAGGAAAGTAGAGAGAATGGATCAGGAATTAAGGAGCTCCTTCAGAAGTATATATGCATACTTCTGTATGTATACATATCAATCACACACATTTATGTATGCTTATGTACACATTTGCATGTGAAGAGAAGTCCCTGCCACTGCCATTCATCTGGACAAACCAGGTACCTTTAAAACACTATAAAGAGATATACCAGCAGACAGTGAATAACACACAGAACATACAGCAAGGACTGGAGAGATTGCTCAGCAGTTAAGAGCATATACTGCTCTTACAGAGAGCGGATCATGTCCCAGGGCTCACTTAAAGTGGCCCACAACTGCCCATAACTCCAGCTCCAAAGGGATCCTGCGTTCATGTGCACATACCCAGACACAGACACACACATGTACATAATTAAAAGCAAAATAAATAGGGACTGAGGAGATGGTTCAGTGGTTAAGAGAATTTATTGTTCTCCCAGAGGACCAGCTTTGGTTTCTAGCACCCACACCGACTCACAGCTCTCTGTAACCCCAGTTCCAAGGGATCTGATGCCCTCTTCTGGTCTCTCGGAGTTTTAGCCATGCATGTAGCACATACATATACATTCTTGCTCATAAAACATCCATACATATAAAACATAAATACATTTTTTAAAATTAAATGTTTTTAAATGGCACGTGAATGTGTGCTAGCAGAGTAAAGAATTGTATATAACTAAAGTCGGATTATTTTTCAGATGAGCAAAGCTGTATTCCAAATGGAAGGACTTCTCATTGGCAAGCCATATCCAGGCATACAGCATTCACAGATCTGAGGAAGAAACTGATCCTAAGACATCAACCATGAAGTTCCAGTTAGTGAATTCACAGAAGACACTTGGTGTGGTGGGTCAGAATCCAATCTTGCTCCTGTGCTTTCATGCTACAGGAGACAGCATCTAAGAAGGCACAGGATTGGCATAGGTCCCGGGAAGTCTACCTCTCATGCAGCTTTTCATGACCTTTGTTTCTGAAATGTCAAGGCATGTCTTATGTCATCATAAGCCTGTTCTCCCAGCCCCTCAGAGTGCCACCATTGAATGGACATAAACAGTGTCAATGGACATAAACGGTGCCAAAAGTGATAAGACTCAGGAATTGCTGGGTGCCACCAGTCCTTCTGTCAACATAACTGACCTGAAATCTCCTGTGACATAAAAGCCCTTGATCACCTTCCTCCAATGGTACAGAGAAGAAGTATGCTGAGGCAAGCTGTCCATCAGCTGCTCTCCCCGACCAGGATTCTCAGGTGGGAATGGATGCTGATTCTGCCTCTCTTGACTATCACTGTCTCAGACCATGACTGTCCCAAATTGTTCCAAACAGCACAAGGACAGAAGTGCTAGGGAGAATAGAAACTCACCAGGGGCAAACTCTGATTTTTTCAGCTTCTTCAGTATTTTCTATTATGAGCCATAGAAGCTAGTTTGAACTCCCATGTGTAGCAGAGATTTCCCATTCTGTCAAGCCACAAGGAATACTTCAGTGTTGCCTGAACTGTCAAGGCTTTGTTATGGCTTTGTGAATGAATGTGAAGGTGATTGGTCAGATGCGTACAGGTGTGGCCTTGTCATTGAGAAAGTCAGAAATGATCAGAATGGTTGTTCTGCCCGTTTCATGAACAAAACTCCTGGTATTGGTAGTTACTGCTCAGCAGTTAGTTATGAAGACTGCCTGGTCAAGCCCAAGCTAAGTTTTAATCTTCATGAGTCCCTGCCTTATGTGGATAAAGCACTTCAGTGCCTGCCACACAAGGGACACCTGTGATTGCCTCTCATTAAGATGGTCATGCCAAGTATTTCTTTCAATACATAATGCACTCCCCTGTGTTAAGGTAGAATCTATTTCTCTAAGCCTTGGAATATGGGTTTACCAGTATAAGCCTGCACATATGGAAGATGAAGAAATGATTACATGGCTTTCAAGGAGATACTTTAGAGTCTTTGCAACATCCACCCAAATGTCTTAGATCATTAGCTCTAGAGGAAGCTGGTCACAATGTAAGAAATCCGATGACCCAAAGACCACCAAATTGTAAGGCATTCGGTTTTTCCGCCTGCCGCCGCCTGGTCTTGTCCCGCCGCCGCGCCAGCCCCAAATAACACACAGAGACTCTGTATTTGATATTATCCTGTTGGCCAGTTACTAGTTTCTTATCGGCTAGCTCTATCTTAATTATTAACCCATTTCTGCTGATCTATGTATTTCTCTTACCGGGGAGCCGGCGGCATACTGCTTTCTTCAGACTCTCCATCTTGACTCCTCCTTACTACTTCCTATTTCCTCCTTGTCTCCTAGTCCCTCCTATCTTCCTTTCCTATTGGCCAACAGTGCTTTATTATTAACCAGTATGAGAAACATACAGAATGACATCTCCCATCACCAAATGATAAGGAAACCTAAGCTAACCGTGTGGACAGAGTCCTGATTAGCCCAAGGCCAAAAATACAAATGAAGAAATATTCAGCTTGCTCTAACCTCAGCCACCATCTAAGTATAAACACATAAAACTCCAAGTAGGAGATGCCCAACTGAGCTGTCAAGCCAAGAACTAGAAGACAACACACTCTCTTATCGTCATTACTTTATCATCAGCAAAACTGGGTAGCTGAAACATATTTCTGTAGGTATTAAATAAGTACACAGACTGGTAAAAACAGGCCACTTAGGAAAAAAAGGATCACTAAGTATATCTAATAAAATCCATCAAATACATTATGTAGGGGATGTCAGCAGTGGTAAAGACCATTTGAAAATTGGACAGCTTTGTGGATAATTATGGCCAAGAGGAAATCTGCTATGGAGAAAGTAACTTTTTTTTTTTTTTGAGAGTGGAATTTTCCAAACTCACCAACCATCTCAACAGGATTCATTTAGCTGAGTGCTCAATGCTCTGCTCTCCTTTACACAAAGCAAACTCATGACTGTCTCATCTAGGTACAAAGCATATCACACCAAGGAAAAGCACCAATAAGCAAAGGAAATAGTCTCCATAGAGCTCAACCTGTTCATTTATTTTGTAAAACAGTCTGTGGTCCAGGTAGCGCTGTAAAACAACCAAATATAGCCAGAGATAAGCATGGGCGGGAGTGGAAAATAGAGGCTAAATGCTGGGCAAAGGCAGCTGTGACACCATAACAGCCCCCATGATTGCACTGATAGGGTCACCCCTTTATTATGACAAGCTTAATTATGACACGATCCATATCTATCATGTCTTTGATGGTTGTAAATAAGGCTGAGTCATTCCAGCATCATTCCTACCAGAGACACAATAGCTTTAGCTTTTGGGGATAATGACAAGGGGATGCATTCAATCCTTGTACCTTTTGAGGAACAACAAAGACTGAGCCTTTCCCCCCACTTTCCTGAGTATCAATTATTTTTATGGCTGAGTAGATCTTCTTGAGACTCGAATGCCACACCTCTCTCACTTACAGAATACTTTCCACTCTGTCTCAGTCGAAACCCACAATCCCCTGGTGCCCAAAGAGGAATCCTGTCTCTTACCAGAGTACAAGACTGTGCTCAGAATCAGCTGAACAAAACATTGAGACATTTTAACCAATTTTATAAACAATAATGTTTTAAAACAA